GCATGGCCCAAAAACCCAGGCCTAACCAGGCTCCGGGCCCGGGCCGTTTCGTCAACGCCCGCACTGGACCAAGCCCGGGCCGGCCAGCAAAAGGGTCGGGCCAGAGTGGCCGGGTTCAGGCCCAAACTCGACGAGGAGGTCAACAATTGTTAGACCCTATTGCCACTAGGAAAGAACCCTAAAGAGGGGGTGAATAGGATTTATGCTAATCTAATCTGATTTAAATATCAATTAAAACTTATTAACAAATATATTCTTACAAGATAGATATACAACTAATTATGAGCAAGAATATATAATATGAACAAATGGCTATATCCTAGCAATAAGATATGCTATGAGATATATGCAAGGATATACAAAACACTCAAGGGTAAACAAACTAAACCAGATAGTGGGTTATATAAATAATGAGCAATATACAAAGACGATATAAGATACGAACATAAAAAAAATAAGTGCGCCAATGCAATCACAAACAAACGATATGTCCACGAGGTTCGGTCCCCACGACCTATGTCACCGCTCCTTACCTCGAGGAGATCTTCACTATCACACCGGGTTTTCTACGCTTACCCAAAAAAACGTTTACACCTCACAATATGATTTTCTAGCTAACCGAAAACTTTACAATCCATACTCATAATGTAACTACACTAACTACCACCTCAAGTGTTGGTTTCTAGCCCGTGTCTCCCTCAAGTGTTAGGAATTACAACCTCTCTCTAGGAATTACCACCTACCCCACTCCTCTTGGGATGACCACGTCTCTTACCACACACTCCTCTTGGTGTACTAGTGTAATACAAAATGATCCTCACAATTAAGCATAATAACAACAAATGATTTGTTCTCTACAATGAACGAGAACTCAATTAGGCACAACTCAATGTTACTATCTCTCACAACCCCAAATATATTATGAATGTAAATACAATAAGCTCAAGTGGGTGTGTGTAACAATGAGATTAATTAAATCTAAACTCAATATAAAACTAGCTTTAATAAGATGATAATCAAACAAATAGATATAAAGCTAGAAAAGAGTTTAGGGAAACTTCTCAGTGGATCAAGAGAGTGAGGGAGAAGAGTTAGATGATCAAACACCAATAGATGATCTTTCTCAAGCCCTTGTGAAATTGTTTTCACAAAACAAACTCTCAAACACTTAAAAGCTTTTTAAACAAACATTAAACAAAACTTCAAACCTTTGTTAAACCTTCTTAAAACATTCTCTTAGTTATTTTGAAATATGAGAGCAAGTGGGTATTTATAGAAACCCAAAACATCAGTAGAAACCCAAGCAAAATGACCAAATAACCAAATCTCACAAAATCTAAAAAGTACAGAAATATAGCCGTTATTGATCGACGATCGACTGCAGAGCCACTGGCGGTCGACCACGAGAAAATCGACGATCGACTGCAGAGCCACTGGCGGTCGACCACGGGAAAAACTAGCCGTTGGGATGGCAAGCTGAAAAAGTCACGGTCGATCACAGAGGCAAGTCCGGTCAACCACGAACAGCTAAAAAACAAAGCTGACCCTCTAGATTTTCTACGGTCGACCGCAGCGCTAAGGGCGGTCGACCGCGATCTGATAAAAAATAAAAGCAATCTCTGGAAAATTGACGGTCGACCGCACCGCCAAGGACGGTCGATCGCGAGCTGTTGAAAAACAGAGCTGAGTCTCTGGACCATCAGCGGTCAACCGTAGCGCCAAAGTCGGTTGACCGCGAACTGATATTTTAGATATTCCAGGTTTAAAAATAGTTTTCTGATTTTAAAA